TATCTTGTCACCATGGTGAAGAGAAGCAGTTGTGAAATGAGTGACATGGTTGTTAAGAATGCTACAATGGGCATAAATGATGACCAGTCATAAGTGCGAAGACCGTCAAAAGTGCGAGGACCTGTCAGAAATCACTTTTTTCAGCCCTCTGTAGTCCTTTTGTGCATATGGACTACTCAGAGGGCTGAAAAAGTTATTTTTGACTGGTCCTCGCATTTTGACCAGTCCTCGAACTTACGACTGTCCTCACATTTTACGTTTTTGCCCTATCTTGTCACCATGGTGAAGAGAAGCAGTTGTGAAATGAGTGACATGGTTGTTAAGAAAGCTGCACGGGCATAAATGTGAGGATGGTCATAAGTGTGAGACTGGTCAAAAGTGCGAGGCCCAGTCAGAAATGACTTTTTTCAGCCCTCTGAGTAGTCCCTATGCACATAGCCACGCCCACCCAGTCACATGACGAGCTACCCACGCCTACACAGTTACGTGACCAGCTAGCCACGCCCACCCAGTCACATGATTGCCACACCCCCAACTAAGCCACGCCCACAGAACCTGTTGTTAAAAAAATTGAATCCCACCACTGGTGAAAGGGCCTCATAAGTGGAATAGCCTAGGGCCTCTTTTCATCTAAATCCGGCCCTGCAGAGGGTACTTCTGGATAGCGAATCAAACACTTGTTTAAAGTCAAGGAAGGCCAGAAAAAGAGAAGATTTCTTTTTTGTACAAGGTGGTGAAGTACCAAAATATGATCAACTGTTGATCTCCCTTCCCTAAATCCAGCTTGTTTGTCTTTAATTATGGCCTGAGATTATCCAATCTTGAAGTTTGTGGTTTAGGTGTTCAGCATACAACTTGCTAACAACACTCTAATGGGCCTGTAGTTTCATGGATTGTTTTTACTGCTTGGCAACTGGTTCATATTTATGATGGTTGCTGGGTTCTTGGGTCATGTCACCTTTTGCGACGCTCTGACAAGCAAAGTCAATGGGGAAGTGAGATTCACTTAACAACTGCAGTGATTCACTTAACAACTGTGGCAAGAAAAGAAGTAAAATGGACCAAAGCTCACTTAATAACTGTCTCACTTAGCAACATAAATTTGGGCTGAATTATGGTCATAAGTCAAGGACTACCTGCATATCACTCACCAGCCTGTTTTCATGGGCAAAAGTGGCAACAGAAAGTAACATCACAAGAAAACAAAATGGAAACAGGGATACCTTTCCATTCTTGTTTCCATTCTATTTTTTTAAGTAATATATAGTATATGTTAAATTCCAATATAAACTCGAGCACACAAATTTGAGATATAGAATTATTCTTCCATTAATAATAATAATAATAATAATAATAATAATAATAATAATAATAATATTTATTTCTATACCGCCCTTCTCCCGAAGGACTCAGGGCGGTGTACAGCCTATTTAAAAACACAGAAACAAAACAACAGTTAAAATTTAAAATCATTAAATAATTAGGCTCCAATTAAAATCCCAGAAATTTAAAATACCCCAATTTAAAACGTTATGTTAATAGCCCGGCCTGGCGGAACAACAGGGTCTTCAGAGCGCAGCGAAACACTCGGAGGTCGGAGATCTTACGTATTTCCGGGGGCAGTTCATTCCACAGGGCTGGGGCTCCCACAGAGAAGGCCCTCCCCCTGGGTGTCGCCAGCCGACATAACTTGGCCGATGGCACCCTGAGGAGACCCTCTCTGTGGGAGCGGACTGGTCGGTGGGAGGCTATTGGTGGCAGAAGTCGGTCTCGAAGGTACCCGGGTCCTATGCCATGGAGCGCTTTAAAGGTGGTAACCAACACCTTGAATCGCACCCGGAAGACCACTGGGAGCCAGTGCAGCTCGCGCAGGAGGGGCGTCACATGGGCGCAACGAGTTGCACCCATAACCACCCGCGCGGCCGCATTCTGGACCAGTTGGAGCCTCCGAGTGCTCTTCAAGGGGAGCCCCATGTAGAGAGCATTACAATAGTCCAACCGGGAGGTGACAAGGGCGTGAGTGACCGTGCGCAAGGCGTCCCGATCCAGAAAGGGCTGCAACTGGTGAATCAGGGGAACCTGATAAAAGGCCCCCCTGGCCACGGCCGTCATGTGCTCTTCTAAAGACAGCCGTGCGTCCAGGAGGACACCCAGATTGCGAGCCCTCTCTGTGGGGGGCAAGGATTCACCCCCAATAGTCAGCGATGGCACCTGCTGACTATATCGGGGCGCCGGAAGCCACAGCCACTCGGTCTTGGAGGGGTTGAGTCTGAGCCTGTTCCTCCCCATCCAGGCCCGCATGGCCTCCAGGCAGTGGGACATCACATCAAGGGCATCGTTGGGGTGGTCTGGGGTAGAGATGTACAGCTGAGTATCGTCAGCGTACAGATGACACTTCACCCCAAAACCACGGATGATCTCACCCAGCAGCTTCACATAAATGTTGAACAGGAGAGGCGAGAGGACTGACCCTTGCGGCACTCCCCATGCGAGATGCCTCGAGGTCGACCTCTGTCCCCCTGCCAACACAAACTGCGAGCGGTCGGAGAGGAAGGAGGAGAACCACCACAGAACGGTGCCCCCTATTCCTAACCCCCTCAACCGCTGCAGCATGATACCATGGTCGATGGTATCAAAAGCCGCTGAGAGGTCTAATAGGACTAGGACAGAGGAGCAACCCCTGTCCCGAGCCCTCCAGAGATCATCCACGAACGCGACCAATGCCGTTTCTGTGCTGTACCCCTGCCTGAAGCCCGACTGGTACGGGTCCAGATAGATAGCTTCATCCAGGTGCCGGGGAAGTTGTCGTGTCACCACGCTCTCAACAACCTTCGCCACAAAACGAAGGTTGGAGACTGGACGATAGTTAGCTAATTCAGCCGGGTCCAGGGAAGGCTTCTTGAGGAGGGGCCTCACTACCGCCTCTTTCAAGGTGGCAGGAAAGGCACCCTCACTCAGAGAAGCAGTTATAATCCCCTGGAGCCAGCCTCGTGTAACCTCCCGGGAGGCCAGCACCAACCAGGAGGGACACAGGTCCAATAAACACGTGGCGGCACTAATCTTACCCAGAACCCTGTCCACATACAATAAAATTGTATTCCAGAAATAGCTTTCCTAGTTTTGACTTTCACAGCCTAATAGCCTATTGTTTTCCTCCAGTCATATTGGAGAATGACTTAAAGACTGGGAGAAGGGATAATTTAAACCTTAGCAGTCCACCCTTTCCCAAGAGTAATCATAAAATTATGAGGAGTTATTGCTACTAAAACTGAAGCTCATGACAAACTATAGTTAATATTGCTGGGGAGATCTTAGTGCTTCTCCCTTTCGTCCAGTATTTAAAAAAATAGCAAAAAAAAAAAAAGCGTTTTAGGACCTCCTGCCCAAAACTCAGGAATTAACAAACATAAAGAACTTTGTGTCTCTCTTGAAATTCAAGGATAGTTCTGTGCTACCTTGCATGTACTTATAATTTAACTGTAATATTTTATTTTTAAATCAGTGAGACCAGTTCTCTAGATATCAAAAGGAGTTTACTGGGAAAGATTTATGTAGTCAAAAATAAGATAAGGCAACAAGCACACAAATTCAAATTGAATTTTAATGGGTCTATGGCAAGGGTGCAGGATATCTGAAGAACCATCTTTTCCCAATGGGATTGACCCACCCTACTTGTGCTGGCAGAAGGGGCCTCTGTGGATCTCATCAGCCAAGGAATTTTAGATGGAGAGATCCAGGATATTCCAGCCTTTGGAATATCTTGCTGCAGGTGGTAAGATTCCCCTCTCCCCCCCCCCCAACCTCTCCTTTAGCCTTCAGGAAAAATTTTGAAAACTTGGCTATATTAGCTGGCATGGAGTTCTGAAGGAGAAGCTGCTGGGCTGGAAGTGGTTGTTGCATTAAGACAGAAAGCACATCTTAATGTTGTGCTTGTCCACCCCTTTTTTGTAATTTTAATGTTTTTATACTTATAATTGTCTAGCTATGTATATATTTTATCATGCTGTAAGCCACTCAGTCACTTTGAACCTTGAAATGGGTGGCAAATAAATTAATAAAAACACAATGTTATTTAATATCACTGTATTAACTAGATCTATAGGATCTTGAGACTTCAAGACAGTTTTGCAGAAAGAAGGCTGGGGATAACTCATATGGAACAGCTTATCCTTTCAGCATGACATCAATTTACCAGATGGGTTAGTGTGTTAGTGGCTTGCCAAAAACCATGGCAGCCCTTGCCCTTCCTCCTGAAGTTTGGCAGACCGCTACTCTCTTGGTCTTTTGCAAAGCACTGAAGACCTGGCTTTTCACACAACTGCTGGGATAAGACGAGGTGACTGAAGCTTGACTTAGCATCAGGTTTTTCTTTCATGTGTTAGGTTATCATTTTACTATGGTTTTTGTGTTGCTTTAATTTTAAATTGGAAGCTGCTAAAGTTTGTTATAAGATGGACAGCTATATAAATGTTTCAAATAAATAGAGTTTTTCAGCCAGGAGCTGAACGGGAAAAGAACAACCATATTAGTACTATGAGACCACAGGATGTCAACACTCTGCACTGTCTGGTAGGCTATCATAGCTAGTCTTTCCTGTTGTATCATGTCCAGAAGATAATGCTGCGAGATTTTTGGCATCTCAGTTGTCTTCTAATGTCCCACAGAATTCCATCTTGTTCTGATCATCACTCAATCTTACAATAACCACTTCAGTTCTTAGCATGGGGCAGGGAAATGTGTTGTGGCTGTTGCACAGTGATGATGCAGGGATATTACCATTTAGGATAAAACTGGGGGTTGTGCCCCCAACAACCAAACGATGTGTTTTATGGTTGGTATTTCAAGCATTGAGCATTGAATAGTGTGTTCTTGGATTAGATGCAAAAAACAATATCCCAAGCACCTTGTGTGTTTAACACAGCCTGGCACTGCTTTACAGGAAGTTCAGAGAAGAAACACCCCCTCCCCCAAACACATTAGAAACTAATCATTTCATCCAATTGGTTTCACATCCAATGCTTTTATTAGTTCGTGGATTATTTTAAGATTTATCCCAAGAGTCAATGTTGGAAATGTACTACTAATGCCATAAAATAAAAATCCCACGTTTCTTTGTTTTTGATATAGTATGATATTATTTGTGCCAAGAGATGGCTTCTGGTGGAGCCTACATAAAAATGATGGTACATTTTTGATGGTACTGAATTTAGGGTTCATTCTGTACAAAAAGATGCAATCCATCGTTTCCCATGGAACCTGCAAAAAAAAAAAAATAATCACATGAAATAAAGTTCTATGTCAGATCTCCTGAAGAGAACTTTTACTGGTTTCCACAAATGATGCGCACTTCCCAATTAAGTCAGCTGCTACCGCTTTCCAAGATCTGTTGGATCAAGTTGCAGAAGGATCATTTTAGGAAATGTGCATGTTCAATGTTCTGAGCTGCACCAAGGGTATCCAAAAAGAATCCGCTTTTTGGATTTCCTTTTTTAATTCACCGTTATTTAAGAATGCTCATGGCCCATCTGCCTCTCTCTCTTTTTTTTTTTTCTTGTGAATTCCTCTCCGTGGGCTGGCTTTAGTTACCCCGTCGAAGGTGCGCAAACACCAAGAAAAAAGCTGCAACCTCCTCTCGTTCAGTGGCTCGCTGAGCAAAGTGATGGATCTCCGCCGGTTATACTTCCCGCCCTAGAAGCAAGTAAAGAAACGGCTCGTTCGTTACGCATCTCGCGCGTCTTACATGGGATCTTTCTTGCGCTCCCGCGGCAGGTAAGCCCGGGAAACCTCCCCTCCACTTCTTTCTCTCTCTCTCTCTCCCTCAAGGCCCCTTCTGTCCCTAGACTTATTTACGTACAGGCGGACCGGAAGCTGCGCCAAATGGCTGGCTGAACCGCGCTTGCGCGCTGTAGCTTTTCGCACCCGGCTTCGCCTTGCGTAGAGGGAGAGGCGCCTGTGCGCGCCTTGGGCCCAAGAAGGATTTTGGGACCGTGTAGGCCGGCTCTTTAGCCGGCCGCAACAGCAGGTACTGGGAGTTGGTGGTAGATCAGTTGTTCGCGCCTGATTCGAGGGGCCGGCCTTGCCTAAGAGGTGCGGCCGCTGGGCTGCGTTTCGCCCAGGGCTGTGAGCAGGCCAGGGAGGAGGCAAAAGGAGGGCTGGGAGTGTGCGCGGCCTTTTGGTTGGGGGCGCCCGCAGGCTGAGCCTGGCGTCCAACAAGGAGGACGCCAGGCTCCCCCAAGGCGTCCTTGGCGTCCCCCAAGGAGGCCCCTCGAGAGGGCTGCTGCTGCTGCTGCTGCTGCTGCTGCTGCTGCTTACTCGCGGGACGTTGAGGTGGTGACTTGCTGCGCTGGAAGGTGGGGAGGGGGGGTTACTCAGAAGGCATGAAGTAGCTGGACACGGCCTACCTTCGCCTTCCAGGGTTTAGAAGGAAAGTTTGTCTTGGCATTTCCTACCTGGGATGGTTTGATAGCGCCAGGGACTTTGTTTGGCACCTGTGGAAGATTTGGGTACCCTTTGCCCATTATAAGAAGCTTTTTTGATAACTGAAGAGAACTTTCACACCAGTCTTATTTCCTGGGGGGGGGGACAACCCCTGTAAATTGCCCTCCACCTCCTTGTGCAAACGAAGCGAGTCTTGCCCCAATATTTAAGAGTGTGCAGATCTTTATTTTTCTGTTAGCTATTATCATTAGACCCAGCATATAGTCGTTCCAGATGAGACAATTAACCAAAATGTTTTTCTGGGAGATAAGAGTGTTGTAAGTAGTATATCCTGTTGACTTGTTCATAACTTCAGGGATTTCTGAGTTGCTGCAAATAACCATTCTTGTGAGATTCAGGGATCAATCAGTGAAATTCCATGCACACGGAATTTCATATCCTCCTTTCACCTCCCTCTTTCTTCCTGATACCTAGTTTCCTTCTTTCTAGCTGCTGATTTTGGATTCTTCCAGAATCAGAACTATATGATCGCTTCGCCAACCAATTAAAAAGGATTGATGTCATGGATAGAGAAATGTTAGATCTAGTGATATTAAAGTTGCATTATAATCATAGATGAGTATTTTGCCCAGTTGCACCCATTCTGTTACAAAGTGAATTATCACTATGAGACTGATTGATATATTTTTGATTTTTTTCTGTTCTGGAATTTTTCTGTTTCTGACACAATTTTCCTTTAATTAAAGGAGTTTTTTCCTTTAATTGTTTGCAATAATATATGTACATATTTTTCTCTTAGTTTGTTATATGCGTTGCTTTCCTGAATTGTTTTTTCTTATACTACGTTGTTATAAAACTGAGAAGAAGTTGAATCTGTTAGAGTGAGTATGTTACTATCTCACCAGATTTAAGCTGACCCCAACTACCTTCTTTCTGCCTGCCTCACCATGTCTTATTGTCATTTCAACACGAAGGCTTATTGACCATTTCTATCTTAGGGTCTGGATTTATATATGTCAGTGTCTTTGATTTTGTTTACAGTTTGATTACAGTATGTTTATTAAAATACAAAATGCCCCCAGAATTGACCATGCCCATTCCAATAACATATTGTCATTATTCTTCACAGCACATGGAATCATTTTCTTAAGAAATTGTGATCTGTGCCACACAAAAAAACCCCTAAGCCTGTACTAATTCTAATCCTGTATTATTTCCAAGTGAAATTCAAGATACTGGTATTTATAAAATCCTAAACAGTTTGTGTTCAATCTACAAGAAATACATCTCTTTTGGTACTTACCTACTTAGACCTTTAGTTCTTCATCCAAGCTTCTTATCCTGACAAATCAGAAGTACTCTGTTCCCTGGTATTGCTTCATTTAAGGAATGTTCTCCCCCAGAGAATCACTTAAAATCTTTGTGTGGTACTTTGGTACCATACATTTTTCCAGTCATTCTAACAACTTTTAGCACTTTTAGATTGTTTTATTGCTTCATTTTAAAAATGTAGAATGGGAAATCAGTTTATTTTAAAACATGGATTTTAAAATTATGTTAAGTTGTGATATGTTTATACGTGTAAACTGACATTTACATATACCAAGTATACATCAATTGTATCTTTGTACCTGCTTATCTTTCTCTGGCCACATGTTCATTCTCTGCATATTCCTCAGGAACCAAATGTGGCCCTTGAGCCAGGCAAGGTTGCAGATGAGTTGTTTATCCAAATAAAGTTGGAACCGCCTGAGAAATTACTGTGCTTGCTTATATTAAGCATATGAGAACAACTTTGACCCAGTTAGTGGATAAAAAAATGCAAAGATAATTTATTTATTACATGCATGCTAAAATACTTCAAGCTCAGAGAAATATGGAATATTTTCTTTTAAAACTACAATTCTTACATTTTCTTTGATAATGATAATAGGATATACTGATCCCTGCCCTTATGTTCAATATAGATATGCGTATAAAATGCTACTTGGGGATAAGGAATAGATAAGAGATAGAATATCTAAAATATTCCCTAGGGATGGAAAAAATAAACTATTTATATGTTCATGTTCTTACAGTAAATGCAGTAACCGGTCATGTAGTTTTGAAAAATATTTCAAATATTTATATTGGAATCAATTTCCATTTCAATATTGTACAAACGTTACGTATATATAAAGCTGAAGTATTTGTCAAAGTGCTTGTGCTATTTATTTTAGGAGCATTGCCAATGAGACATTGAAGGAATTCTTCAGATTGCTGTTTTTAATTCCTGCAATATGTTTTGGGTTTAACTAAATGTTTTATTCCATCTCTAGCTGTAACTTTCTCTTTTTATATATCAATCTGTCTAATTCACAGTGAAATCTATTGTAATTGATTAAATAGGTGTGATATTAATTAAGGACTTCCTCTGAACTCATTACTTGAAGATACCATATTTTTTTCCCCCTCAACTGATATGGTTTATGTTTCTGGAATGGTAGCTCGGGGAAGGTTGTTTCTGTTTTCTTTACTGTTCTTGGTCATTCTCTTAAGTACCTTGATTCTGAAATGGTCTATGTCTCCCCCCTCCACTGGAATTATTCCAAAACACACACCATGCTTGTATAAGAATATCTAAGTGGAATTTCCTAATGAGTAAATTGCAAATGTTTTTCTGGAAGCTTCTAAAAACTTTTCAGAAGATTTGTTAAAGAGTTCTTAATTATCTGTTTTATCTTACGGTATTACTATGTAAGTACCCTGTTCTGGTAAATTTTGTTTTAAAGCAAGGTGTGCAACTTTTGTCAGCTTGAGGATTGCTTCAGGTTTTATATCATAGTGTTGAACTCCATCAATAGGCAGAATAGATTTGTTTTGGAGAGTTTGGAGTGAAATTGATGCTATAAGCCCCAGCAACATCTCTCCTAGTTGTACCTGTCTACTGTGAAGAAATTTCATGAACAATTCAATGAATGTTGTATAGGCTGAACATTTTTGCTAGTTTAATTAATAAAGTTTATTTCAAAATAAAGATAATACAATAGAAAACTTCATTTGTGTTTATAGGACACCTCAGATAATGTTTAACAAAGGTTGGTTATATTTACCTTATTTGGCAATGCACTTCTGTAGTTAGAAGATTAACTCACAGGGCCTCAGTTTATCCTGTGATTGACATATTTTGGACTATTTTCCACATATTATTTACATGATTATTAATAGAAAGCCTGTGTGACATAGTGATTTAGCGTTGTAGAGAATTCAAGGGTACACTCTCATGGATACTGCATATGTGTTACTTCATAGGAGTAAAGATTAAAATGAGAAATTCTCAAGTAAACTAGCTCAGGCCCATGGAGGAAAGATAGGACACAAATTTAATAAATAAGTAAATGATCTTGCTTATCAAATGTATGCATCCTTCGCTATGTTTTATAAATTTGGAATTTATCAAAGCACCAAGAATTGTGGAGTTCTTGCACAGGGAACGTAGTCAAAAAAATAAATGCAATAATAGATATATATATACTAGGATTGTTAAAAGGTATGGTTTATCAGTGTTGGAAAAAGCCTTTTTTCATTTTTTTTTTCTCTCTTTTGGGCAGAAGGATGAATAAGAGGATTTTCAATCAAATTGGCACACACTTTTGGAATTTTTCTGTTTCTGACACAATTTTCCATTTTTTTCTTTTAATTATTTGCAATAATATATGTACATATTTTTCTCTTAGTTTGTTATATGTGTTGCTTTCCTGAATTGTTTTTTCTTATACTACATTGTTATAAACCTGAGAAGAAGTTGAATCTGTTAGTGTGAGTACGTTACTATCTCACCAGATTTAAGATGATCCCAACTACCTTCTTTCTGCCTGCCTCACCATGTCTTATTGTCATTTCAACGCGATGGCTGATTGTCCATTTCTATCTTAGTGTCTGGATTTATATATGTCAATGTCTTTGATTTTGTTTACAACAGTTTGATTATAGTATATTTATTAAAATACAAAATGCCCCCAGAATTGACCCTTCCTATTCCAATAACATATTGTCATTATTCTCCACAGCACATGGAATCATTTTCTTAAGAAATTGTGATCTGTGCCACACCAAAAAAACCCTCCTTGCTTAATTGAGTCAGTTTTGCCTTTGAGAGAAATTCACAGATACACAAATGCATTTTTTAAAACTTGGATAGGAGTCACCTCTGTCTATGGAAAAGCAATAAGAGGAAGAGGAATAATAAAAGGGGGAGAACTGATGCGCCTAATTAATGAATGTTTATAGAATTGGATGACAAGTCAGGTATTCAAATACAGGTTTATAGAGGAGACTGACAAATTTGTAGATGAATTCAGATGAAAGCTGGCATTTAATGCAAAAATATTTGGCTTTTGGTAGGAGAGACTGGGTTCTTGATTGCACATTGTAAGCTTGCACAGGTATTGGGAGTACATTGTTTAATATAATACTAGAGAGAGAGGAAACAAATTTAGACTTCTGTCAATCATGAACATATGAATGAGAAAGTACCTGTGTGTAGAAATCAGATAGCAATAGCAGTTAGAAGTATATACCGCTTTATAGTGCTTTACAGCCATCTCTAAGCTGTTTACAGAGTCAGCATATTGTCTCCAACAATCTGGGTCATTTTTACTGACTTTGGAAGGATGGAAGGCTGAGTCAACCTTGAGCAGGTGAGGATCAAACTGCTGACAGTCAGCAAAACTAGCCTGCAATACTGCAATCTAACCAATGCACCACCATGGTTCTTGTGCTTTGTAAAGAGAGAGTAATGGAAAACCAGTTCCTCAGACCATCATATGAACAGAATAGTAGCAAATTTCAAAACTAAATCTGGGTCTAGAATCTTCTGAATGAAAATCTAGACAAGCATCAGTTCTATTAAAAATATGTCTGTTTATGTTCTCTAATAATTCCCTTTTATTCCAGCAAATGTGATATAGTGTTATGAAACAAAATTTCATGAATATTATTAAGCATTTTCTAAAAATGAATTTCAATTTCTCTATTTGGTAATAGGTTTACATCAGACTAATTCCTAGCCCAAGTCAAGTATCTGTTAGATCTCACTCTAGAACCCTCTTCAGTTTATGTGGCTCCCAGCCTAAGTAAAGCTGAGTGGAAAATTAATATAGCAGATTTCTGATACCAGCTATCCATTTTATTTTTGCTTTATTAACCAGCAGAAGTGAAGTCATTTGAAAACAACAGGACCTCAACATATCCATTTTTGTTGGATCATTTTTTTCTGTGCTCATATTTGTCATAGACAAATATTTCCAGTGCCATTTAGTCCCTATATTTAATCTTTTGATCCTCATCAATAATTGAGGAAGATAATAAATCATATTTTTTCTTCCACCTGAGAATTAAATATGATAGCTCAGAAGCTGATTAAACATATATATTAATACATTTAGTTGGCTGTAAGCATGCTAATAAGGAGCTCCCCAGTATCTTAAGAGTGGTTGGAAAAAGTGTATGGGATATTGATTACCCAGGTAGCTTACCTTGCCACATTAGTCTCAATGGGTATTGACTACCATTGGAAATGGTTTGGCATAGCAAGTTATTTAATATTTGAAAGGGGTACTTTACAAAATGTTAGTGTGAGGGAAGTGCGCGGTGGCGCAGTGGTTAGAGTGCAGTACTGCAGGCGACTGACAGCCGGCTGCCTGGAGTTTGGCAGATCGAATCTCACCAGTCTCAAGGTTGACTCAGCCTTCCATCCTTCCGAGGTGGGTAAAATGAGAACCCAGATTGTTGAAGGCAATATGCTGACTCTGTAAACCGCTTAGAGAGGGCTGCAAAAGCACTGTGAAGTGGTATATAAGTCTAAGTGCTATTGCTATTGCTATATCTTGCTTAAGGCTGGTTATTTCAAAGGCTTTGCCATTTGCCTATCTTTATATTATTCATAGATAATTGTTTCGCTGATTTCAAAATAAAACAGCAAAATAAATAAATTCAGTTTGAAAATTATAGCACACATTTTGCAAGGTCAAAAAAATTAAAGATACATCTATATATGGGAAGGAAGCTTTTTGGATGTCTTTATTAATCAACTTTATTACATTTCAAAGAAGGATAAAATACAAAATAAAAGGAAAAATGGAGGGGATCAAAAGTGGGAAAAGTTAAAAGGGGGATTCAGTTATATAGTAACCTCTTACTCTTAAGTTAAAACACAGACAATATAAAAATATTATTTAAACAATCAAAATAACAATTTTGTAATAAAATAACATCTATTTAAACTTAAAATAAACATAAAAGAATACATAGTAAACATGTCTAATAATAAAAATACATATTCTCTAGCAGTGCGCCGAGAAAGGACGTTCAGGTAAGACAACGTCCGATATTTTTATCATGACAGAGCTAATCATTGAATGCTAAAATCAAAACTTCATTTCTATTTTTCTCAAACAAAAAGTCCAAGATTCTACATGATTGTAATTTACCCTATCTCACTAGGTCTTTGTTAATATCATTCCATACTTCATAGTTATTCTGGAGGGGGGGAAGGGAAGAGAGGAGAAGGAAGGAGAGGAGAGGAAAGCAACAAAAATGTTGTTAGGGGACTGGAGGCTAAAGCATATGATGAGCAGCTGCAGGAATTGGGTATGTCTAGTCTAAGGAAGAGAGGAACTAGGTGACATGATGGCTGTCTTCCAATACTTGAGCTGTCACAGAGAAAAAGAGGTCAACTTATCTAAAGCACCAGAGGGCAGGATAAGAAACAATGAGTTGGAGCTTGTTAAAGAGAACCAATCTAGAACTAAGGAGAAATTTCCTGACAGTTAATTAACTTTTAATTAATCATTGGAACAGCTTTCCTCCCAGAGATATAAGTGCTCCATTGCTGGAGGTTTTCAAGCATAAACTAGACAGTCACTTGACCAGGATGATATAAGGTCTCCTGTAGAAGTAGAAGCTTAGTCTAGAAGGTCCAAGGTCGCTTCCAGTTCTGATTCTATGATTCAGAAACAACATACCAACATACAAGTCATGTTAATTAGTATAATCCCTAAGTATTTAGCCTTCCTCTCAATTTTAAACCAGTATTTCTCATCAAAATCACTTTTGTGTATTTATATTTTTAACCAAAATCTTGATCTTTTTGTTGACCTTAAAAACCTGCTAGTCTACCAAAATCCTTCAGCTTCTTCATTAAATGTTCTATACCATTTGGCAATACCAAAACCACGTTAATGGCAAAAGCTCTCAATTTTTAATTGTCTTTATTTTCAAATATCTTATGTCTCTTATTTAATATTTTTGGAACTAAAAAAATATAAAGGTTACAAGGGACATCTTTGTCATGTCTCTTTAACATCACATATTTAGTCAAATATCTTCCTTAAAGAATTGCACAATTGTAGTGCCACAACAAAAAGGGCCTTGTTTCTGGAAATTAGTAATCAAATACGGTAGATTAGCCGAAAGAATAGTTCTTATAATATTATGTAAGTTCACTTTGGCAAGAGTGGTTCTTAAGTTGAAGCCTTAGTTTAATTGAGACTGGAAACATTTGTGTATGCACGCTAACACTCTCACCCTTTTTTTGTGATCTAGGTAACAAAATGAAAAGCAATTTAGATAAAGTTTTGCCTAATAAGAAGGGAATAAGCCTTCTTCGGCCTTTTATTCTTTTTCGAAAGGGGGAGATGATAGTGTTGCTAGTGAGATGGGCAGCATATACATTTGAAAAAGTACAGCGTACAGAAATGTTACAAGAATAAGGTTATATGATTAACTTGCTATAATATGAAAATGCTTATTGTGAAGTCATTGTATTTTTTTTGTTTCCCCACAGCAGAAATGGGTGTTTTCAATTAAAATAAATATTTTGAGAAATAAAGGATTTTTAGAATTGCTGATATTGAAAGCAGTTTTTTGTTTCCAGAAACAAAAGATGGAAATTTGTATCAAAAGAGATATTGGTTTCAATTTTTTTTAAAAAAATATGTTCATAAATTATCCTGTTAATTTCAGTGTACTCACTTCTTCCTGTATTGTAGTGTAGAAAGGCTGTGGCTGAATAGCTTGCAAAAGCTTTGCAGAGTACAGGTAGTCCTCAACTTACATCACTTAATGACTGTTGAGAGTTATAATGGATCCCTCAAAAAAATCTATTTACAAGCTGTTTTTGTAATTGTGACAGTGCACCTCTGTGCCCAGTCACATGATCATATTTTGGGCTTATCTTTATTGCCATTTGCAGCATCCCGTGATCACATGACCATGACTGGCAATGTTTCTTGCTGATTTCCAGCATTTACTTAAAGGTTCCAGCAAAAAATGCCCATTGAGAAAATTGACTTGCTTAATGACCGCTGCAAAAAAATGCCAAAAAATAGGATCCAGTCATGTGATGCCTTGACTTATAAACCAAAACTAGTTATAACCATAATTCTGGGTTTAGTTACATTCACAAATTAAGAACTACCTGTATTTCAAGCCAGAAGTGATTGCAGAGTTTGGTTTATTTTCTAGCCAAACATTTCCCATAGATAGTATCTTACACCATTTCCAACAAATGGCAGTCCAATCTCTTCTTGAAAGCCTCCAGTGATGAAGCTCCCACAATGTCTGAAGGTAAGCTGTTCCATTGGTTGATTGTTCTCACTGTCAGAAAATTCCTCCTTATTTTCATGCATCGTTGCGCCAACATTCCTCAGTTCTGGGACCTTCACTCATTCGATTTGTCTTACTGAGTGCTTGTCAAATATTTATCTCCCTCCGCCTCCTCCTCCTACGCATGCTTAGTCTTTTTCACTCAGTCGAGTTAACAGGTCTAGAGTGCTTTTTGTTCTACAGATAATCTGTCTAAATTCATTATAATTTATTAGAGGGCTGCGTTAATGGCATCTGACTTAACAGCATTACAATTGCCTTAAAAAAGATCGCTATTTAAATTGCGGCGTTAAGGGGCTGCTAGCCGCCTTGCCGATCAATCAGCAGTGATCCGCTGAGGTTTGGACGCTGTTTGCTTATTTTCGCCGTCTATACTGAAGTGGATTTTTTCTTGGTTTAAATTGCGGCGCTAAGGGGCTGCTAGCAGCCTTGCCGATCAATCAGCAGCGATCCGCTGAGGTTCGGACACTGTTTGCTTATTTTCACCGCGGTGTTAGAGCTGGTGAATAATCGCCAACACCCTTGCAGCCCTCTCTTGTTTTTCAGCGGCGAGTTAGTTACTAAAGTAACTTTCAGGCTCCTGTGGAAGTTACATTTTAATTGAGTTACAATGTAACGCTTGGAAGCTGCCTTGTTTATTTGAGCCGCGGTGTTAGAGCTGGTGAATAACTGCCAACACCTTTGAAGTTTCGTTATTTGTTAGTGGCGAAGGAGTTTTCTGATGTTGGATTTCAGACTCCTAATGAAAGAATTTACTTACTTTTAAGTAAATTGAGACACTATTTAAAGTCCCTGTCTACGCCAGCCATACTTAGTCTTTGAAAGTTGTGTTTTTCTTACCCTATACACTTGAGTGTTTATTATTAATACAACGCAATCAAATCAGTTCGGAAACGTTTGGCTCGAGGAATCTTCGTTAAACTGACAGTTGCTGAGGCGAGCAACTGACAGCGACGCCATTTTTAACTGTCAATACTTCGTTCATCATTTGTAACATCAACTGACAGAAGTTCATCTCAGGGAAGTTAATCAAATTAATTGTTATTTGATAAAAAGATTATTATACCTTGAATTAATTAATTATATATTTTTTAAAAAATTAATACTTATTATTATTATAATTAATTATACTGATTGACTACATCTCTTATTAAATATGGCAGACGATAATTTATCATCTGACCTAGAACAGGTCGATTCTCCTCCTAAAGTACATTCTCCTCAGCCATTAAGAAAAAAACGAGCTAAAACAAAAAATGTGACACTGCCACAACAGTCTGACAATTTATTATCTGATGACATTATTAAAGCAATGAATAAGATGGAAACACGTAGACATAAAGCTTTAGAGCGTCAATTTGTCAAAGCCAAGTGTGCTGCACAATCGGCTTCTAACATATATCATTCTGAAATGTCTGTTAATCAACAACCTATTGATGACAGTCATCAGGTCAATGAGGAAACTGTAGAAATTCAGTCACAAGATCCTATGTTTAGAGAACCACAAGGTCAATTTATGATAGATATGTCTAGAGGAATTGCACCTCAAGGGCCTATTTCTTCAGGTGTTTTTCCTATTATTAATCCACTAAATAAAGGTCCTCCTGAAGCCACTTTCACCCCAACTGCTGCTGGTCTTAGGGGGGAAGATATTCAAAGCAGTGGTCAGGAAGTGGATTTCCAAACAATGGTTACACATGCGATTTCTAAAATATTTCAAGCAGGTTTGCAACAAACCAACTATTCTTGTCATGCTGGTGCAGCTACCAGTAATCAATATCATTCTCATTCTATCCCTAAACAACAGTATTTTAGCTGTGGGGATGACACAGATTTGGAAGAATTTGATTTATCAGATGATGAGGAAGACATGACTCCAGAAAAACCAGCATTTCAAGGTCTTTTCAAACCAGCTTTATTCAAATCATTATTACATAAAGCAAAAGTAGCTACTAATATGGGACTAAATTTAGATAAGTCATCTGATCCTAGTACTCAAATGAATCCAAATGAGAATTTGTTTAAAGTACCCAAGTCTGATTTGGACTTTGTTCCGTGTCCAGATTTATTTTCACAAGTTATTAAAAAACCTTGGGATCATCCCAGTTCAACTTCTGGCCCCAATAATTTTGATAAAAAATTATATTGCTCTCCACCAGACTTGGATGAATTGTTGCAATTGCCATTAGTAGATGAACCGATAGCAACACTTACGTCATCTTCTGTGTTAGTCAGTGAAGTTGGAGAAGGACTTAAAGTTGAAGACAAAAGAGCTGAAATGACGTGTCGCAAAACTCATCAGGCTGCGGCATGGGCAATTAGAGCTGCAATTTCGGCTTCATTTTTTAACCGGGCCTCTCTTATTTGGCTAAGACAATTAAGAGATAGATTACCACCTGAAGAATCTAGGATTCAGCAAGACATATCTAAAATTATTGCAGCAGCAGAGTACTCTGCAGATGCTTCATTAGATGCTGCGAAATTCGCTTCCAGGGCATTAGCATCTTCTGTAACATCAAGAAGAATTCTTTGGTTATGTCACTGGAAAGCTGATTCACGGTCAAAATGGAGGCTTGCATCAGCTCCTTATAAGGGCCATTCTCTATTTGGAGAGTCTTTGCAACAGGTTCTAGTAGAAGGCAGGGATAAAAAGAAGATTTTACCCTCTTTGTACAGAAGACCAGAACGCAGATATTCTCCTTTTCAACGACATTTTTTTCGCTATGATCAAGGAAATTCAAATACCTACACACAACGTGGTAATTTTCAACCATACTATTCTTCATACTCGAGTAATAGAAATTCCTTTCGAGGAAGAGGCAGCCACCAATCATCTTTCAGAAGACCTTTTCGAGGAGCGATGTCACGTCAATCTCGTAGAGGCAAGTGACTCGAATTCTTCCCTTCCCATTGGGGGCAAACTTCAACTATTTTGTCACCAATGGGAGGAATCAACAACGGATGCATGGATCTTACGTACGGTGACCAGCGGCCTCACCTTGGAATTCACCTCAAATCCATCGAACAGATTCATCCAATGTCCATGGTCAACTCAACCCTTACAACAAAATCTGATGAATCTCGAGATCAAGCACCTGAAACAAATCAAAGCGATCGAGGAGGTTCCAAAAGATCAAATTCAAACCGGGTTCTATTCGATCTTTTTTCTGGTGCCAAAAAACTCAGGGGGTTGGAGGGGAATTCTGAATTTGAGGCAGCTGAATGTGAATGTTTTATACAGAAGATTCAAAATGCATTCACTAAAGTCGATTCTACAATGTGTAAGACAACGAGATCTCATGCAATCTATAGACCTCAAAGAAGCATATTTACATGTGCCCATCCACCCAAGGCACAGACAATACCTCAGATTTGCATATGCGGACAGACACTTTCAGTACAGGGCAATGCCTTTTGGCCTTTCTTCTGCACCAAGAACATTCACGAAGTTGTTAGCGGCAGTGGCGGCCAATCTCAGGTCAATTCCAATACGTCTAGTATGTTATCTGGACGACATTTTGATTTTGTCAACATCAAAAGATCAGGCATGTCGGGACAGAGAATTAGTCATCCAATCTTTACAAAATCACGGTTTTACAATCAACGTGGACAAAAGTCATTTATCACCAACAACTCGATTGTTGCACCTAGGTGCAATCATAGATTCAGAATTGGGTTTAGTTTACCTGTCTCCAGACAGACAAAACAGCATCAAGAGTTTAGTTATGCAAGTAATATCGCAGAAGAAAACTGCTCTATTAACACTGTCTCAACTTCTAGGCAAGCTAATATCTGCAATTACAATAGTACCATGGGCTCGTTACCACACTCGCCATCTACAGTGGTTTCTGTTACCTTTTCAAAGGCAAAGACGAGCGGATTCTCTTCACAAAGTGGTGGTACCAACACGAGTAAAAATATCTCTATGTTGGTGGATAACAGAGGCAATTCAGAAAGGTTCTCTGTTTCTACAATCAGAACGAGTAACGTTAACAACGGATGCAAGTCTTTATGGATGGGGTGCACATCTCAATTCCTTAATAGTGCAGGGAATTTGGTCTACGTCGGAGAAAAACCAACCAATTAACTGGTTGGAATTAAGAGCAGTGCGCCTGGCGTTAATTCATTTTCAACAACATGTGACCAACAAGCATGTCCTGATTTTAATGGACAATATGACAACAAAGGCACATTTGAATCGTCAGGGAGGAACAAAATCAAAACCTCTAATGGAAGAAACAGATCGTCTCATGTCTTGGGCGGAGAAACATGTCTTATCGATAAAAGCATAGCATATATCAGGAGAAATAAATGTACAAGCAGACTGGCTAAGCCGGGGCAAAATACACCAATCAGAGTGGATGTTAGATCCCAAGCTGTTCAAACAGATATCTCTCAGGTTCGGTCGACCAATAGTGGACCTATTTGCTACAGCTCAAAACGCCCAGTTAGCAAGATTTTTTTCTCGATTTCCAACTCGAGCAGAAGGCCAAGATGCTCTAAGATCTCCTTGGCCGCAAGGGCTCCTGTATGCATTCCCTCCAGTTCCAATAATTCAGAGTGTAATTCACAAATTGAGGAAGGAAAGAGCAGACATGATATTGATAGCACCTTATTGGCCTCGCAGACCATGGTTTGCAGACCTCTTAGATCTTTCAATAGAAACTCCTTGGAGAATTCCTCCAAATCAGATAGTACTACTTCAAGGAGAAATAAGACATCCAAAGCCAGACTGGTTACAATTGACCGTCTGGCGCTTGAAAGGTCCAGATTAACAAAAGATCATATCCCTTCAGAAGTAATTGCAACTATTCAAGCAGCCAGAAGACCATCTACTACGCGTATTTACAATGCGTCTTGGAAGGCATTTGTAGAATGGTGTAGTACAAGTCACGTAGATCCTACATCGGCAACAGTACTTGAGGTACTATTATTTCTTCAATCTGGTTTAGACAAGGGTCTGGCTCCTTCAACATTGAAGAGACAAGTAGCAGCATTGGCTACAGTCATAGATGGACCAAGTAAGAAATCTCTTTCACAAGATATGAGAATTAAATCCTTCCTAAGGGGAGCTATGAATTTAAGACCTCCTATTGTTCACAGATATCCTTCATGGGATATGAATTTAGTACTACAAGCATTAACAAAAAAACCATTTGAACCACTGGCATCTATAAGTATGAGATATCTAACTTTGAAATTAGCTTTTCTAATAGCAGTAACATCTGCACGTAGAATATCAGAAATAGCTGCTCTTTCAATTAGGAAGGATTTATGTATATTTTATACAGATAGAGTAGTACTTAGATTAGATCCATCCTTTATACCAAAAATTAACTCATATTTCCATAGAGCTCAAGAAGTAATTTTACCAAACTTTTGTCCAGATCCTAAACATCCTAGGGAAAAAATGTGGCACACACTAGATGTACGTAGATCATTAAGACGTTATATAAAAAGAACTGAATCGTTTAGACAAACTGAAGCACTATTTGTATCATACTTACCTTCTACAATGGGTAAGAAAGTGTCTTCTAATACAGTGGGGCGCTGGATTAAAGCATGCATATCTGTGGCATATAATTCACAAGGGGAAAGTTTACCTGAAGAGTGTTACCACATTCAACACGCAGTGCTGCAACTTCAGCTACCTGGGCTACACAGGCATCTGTAGATGAAATATGTAAGGCAGGCTACATGGTCATCTATTTCATCCTTTGTTAAACATTACAGATTAGATTCTTTTGCATCAGCTGATGCGGCGTTCGGGAGAAGAGTTTTACAATCAATAATCTCCCCACGAAGCCAGGACAATGACAAGGAGTAATTCCCACCCTAATTTATTAAGCTTGGGCATATCCCAGAACTGAGGAATGTCGGTGCAACGATGCATGAAAATGGAACATTGGATTACCTGAATGTCCATTTTATGATCGTTGCGACAACATTCCGTCCCACCCTTGGCGTATTGCCTGGTGGTCGTGGGGGGTATCTTTCTTTTTTCACCTCTGCAGTTACAGTTCCGCTGAGTGTATTCTTCAGATCTGATGGAGGTAGACTTCGTGAAATGACTGAGCATGCGCAGAAGGCGGAGGCGGAACCATACTGCAGAGGGAGATAAATATTTGACAAGCACTCAGTAAGACAAATCGAATGAGTGAAGGTCCCAGAACTGAGGAATGTCGTCGCAACGATCATAAAATGGACATTCAGGTAATCCAATGTTCCATTTCTAGTTTGAATCTCTCCTTGATCAGTTTCTATCCATTATTCCTTGTTTGGCCTTCAGGTGCCTTGGAAAATAGCTTGACCCCTTCCTCTCTGTGGCAGCCCCTCAATATTGGAACACTGCTATCATGTCTCCCCTGGTCCTTCTCTTCACTAGACAAGCCATGCCCAGTTCCTGTAACCGTTCTTCATATGTTTTAGTCTCCAGTCCCCTAATCCTGGTTGCTCTTCTCTGCGGTTTTTCTAGAGTCTCAACATCTTTTTTATAGTGTGGTGACCAAAACTGGATGCAGTATTCTAAGTATGGTCTTACCAAGGCTGGTTGTCCACTAAGAATCCAAGATCCCTCTCACATTTACTGGTATTAAGCCTGGTTTCACCCAGTCTATATGTGTACTTTCAGTTTTTCTTGCCTAAGTGTAAGACTTTACTTTTCTCTTCATTCAATTTCATTTTGTTAGATAGGGCCCAGTGTTCAAGACTGTCAAGATCCATCTGGAACTTGAGCCTATCTTCTAGGGTGTTAGCTATTCCTGCCAGCTTAGTATCATCTGCAAATTTGGTAAGTTCCTCTTCTATTCCCTTATCTAAGTCGTTTATGAAGATATTGAAGAGTACTGGGCCTAAGGACTACTCATTGGGTACGGTTTGTCAGCCAGCTGTGAATCCATCTGGTGGTGATGCTATCTATCCCACTAGCTTTCTAGCTTACCAAGAAGTAGGTTGTGGTCTACTTTGTCGAATGCCTTGCTGAAGTCTAAGTATAGTATGTCCACAGTATTTCGCTAGTCTACTAATTTAGACACTAGGTTGAAGAATGAAATAAGATTGGTTTGGCATGATCAGTTTTTAACAAACCCGTGCTGGCTGCTAGTTATTACTTTACTCGTTTCTAGGTGTTGGCAGATCTGTTTTTTTATTATCTTTTCCAGTATCTTCCCGGGTATTGATATTAGGCTGATTGGCCTTTAGTTTCCTGGGTCTGTTTTTCTTCCTTTTTTGAAGATGGGAACATCAGCTCTTTTCTAGTCCTCTGGTAGTTCCCCAGTGCTCCAGGATTTTTGAAAGATGTACAGTGGTTCTGAGATGACATCTGCCAGCTCCTTTAGAACTTCGGGATGTAGTCCGTCAGGTACCTCTTGGATCTACTTTGGAAGGAGAAGTAAACCTCCACTTGGGAGAAGTCAGCAGCACATAGTCCAATCTGTACATTTCCAGTTAAATCCTTCTCGGAGACAGACTTTATCTTACTATTTGCGCTTAGCACTTTCTCCTTATACAGAGCTGTCCTGTTCCTGGGTTTATTACCTCTTGAAGTCATTTAAATGCCAAATTACATTATTACAACTCTTGATCTCCTTAACCTTGGCACTGAGCTCCATCTTAGTGGTAGTGTTTATTATTCCCAGTAGCGCCAGGGATATTTTTACTACTTTTATTCTTTACGTAGTTCTTCCTTTGCTTCCATTTACCTTATGTTGACTGCTCATATACTTCTCTTCCAGCTTTGTTTTACTCCTAGTGTTATTTATGGCATTTATTTTTATGCTGTTTCGCCTGGACCCAAAGTTGAGTGATTATACTTATAATGAATCCTAAAACCCACAGGGAAAAAGCTTTTCCAGAAACCCTACAAATCTTCATACCTTGGTCCCATACAGTATTCTGCTTTGAGATAGTAGTTTAGTATAGTTTTTACTGCCACTACCTGTGGTCCGGGGGCATTTCACCTGACATCTCCCCAGAATAATTTTTAAAGACTGTGCTGCTTTTGTAATAACAAAGGTTAGAATGCAAATTAAAATAATTTTAATCTGAGACTTACTTAGAAGAGGAGTGAAAACAAAACTACTGGTAATTCACAACTGCATTGCTTGGGGTTGACTGCCAAAATAGTTATTCTAATACTTTCTGTTACTATGGTAACAGAAGTACAAAGCTTTCCTTCATCCTCTGTTTAAACATCCACTGCCTGATAAGGCAATCTGTTTAACTATTAGGGATTTTTTCTAATGTCCATAAAAAATCAATTTCCTTGTAATTTAAGCCATTGTTTCTTGTCTTCTGGAAGAACTTAACAATTCTGCTTTTTTTTTTCTACACAGTAGCTTTTGAAGATTGCCAACATATCTCCCCACTATTTTCTCCAGATTAAGCATACCCAGTTTCTCCAACCCAGAACTAAGGAAAAGTTTCCTGACAGTGAGAACAGTCAACCAGTGGAACAGGTTGCCTTCAGAAGTTGTGGGTGCTCCATCACTGGAGGCTTTTAAGAAGAGACTGGATAGCCACTTGTCTGAAATGGTATAGGTTCTCCTGCTTGAGCAGGGGGTTAGAATAGAAGACCTCCAAGGTCCCTTCCAACTCTGTTATTCTGTCAACTATATTTAATAGATTTGCCTTTCCTGAACTTAATCTTTGCCTGCTTTCCTTTGGATATGCTCCTGTTTGTCACATTCTTCTTAAAAAGCTTTGCCTAGAACTATATGCAGTATTTGTAACCAATCTACAGTTGACTTGCTGAAGAAGGTTAGTTTGTATCAGGATGAAATAAATCTAAGATAAGCATGAGATAAAAAGAGCCATATCCTCTTAGGAAACTCCTATGTATATATGAAATTGTTACCTGGTGAAAGTTTTGGGCCAATCTTATCTGGAATTGTAAACTAAGACTGATCAGTATTTAAGAATTACATATATGATATGACCATGAAATTCAAGTAAAACTTGAGTTGGAGAATACCTTCCTTTTAGGTACTTACAGTAAGAATTTATTTCTGTAGGACTTTTTTTGACTCTGGTTTTAGCTTGGTTGGATTCTTGGTGGTCAAGAAAGATTGAAGAATGAATAATAAAAATGGGAAAATAGTAAGTCAGAAGCCTAAATGTTTGTGTCTCTTTAACGTTACATCTGTAGGGGCTGTAAATTATGTGAACTTCAAAGGAGAAGGGAAGTTGTAGAAACTTGAAAGATATAAAGTAGCTTTAGTCCATTTATTAAAGAAAGAGGAAGAAATCACACTGATTGTTGGTTCATTTTTCCAGGTAAATTTATTCTGATTGCACCTATTTTCAGATCTTACTTATTCCAGTTTGCTTGTGTTTTCTTCTCCTTTTTTATTTTTAATTTGTTTGTTTTTCTTATTAAGGCAAGATAGTTGCTCAGAAATATCTCTACTAATAATTAGACAAAATGAGGCCAATATTAGAAGAATAAAAATAGCTTATCAAACTGTTATTTTTTTCTCAAACAAGATAATTCCTCCAAAGCCTTTCCACTATTGATTTTAAATAATACATTTTTCATGTCACATGTCACTTGATACAGATTTCCTTTCTAATTACTTCACTGTTTAGAAACCATGACATCGTCAGGAAAAGAGAATTTTCGACTCAAAAGTTATAAAAACAAATCTCTGAACCCTGATGAAATGCGTCGCCGTCGGGAAGAAGAGGGCCTTCAACTGCGGAAGCAAAAACGAGAGGAGCAGGTAGAATGAAATTCTATGAAATGAAAGGGCTATATTCATGTATATGCATATACGTATACATACACTCATACGTATGTACATACACACACACACACACACACACACACACACACACACACAATATTTAGTGAAAATTATCAAGAAGCAAAAGAAAGGGAGAAAATGGAACAAAAAATATTCTTCCTAGAAAGTCATTTTCAAATATAATTAAGAAAAACTCTATTAATAAAGTTCAGTAATGAATAAAATTATCTCTAATTGTAAAATTTTCTAATGCTTTATGTTCCTGCATTTTAATTTTTTTAAGCCAATGGATTTTCCAAAATTTTAATTGGTTTAATGGAATTCTTAATTGATTTTAAGAAAGACATACTTTTTGGCAAGTAATAAAAACATTTTTATGTGTGTGTATGTGTGATAACAGTTGAGAAATCTTTGAAATTTAAACAGTAAAATGATATAATTATTTACTAAAAGTGGTATATTGAAATAATTTATTGGCAGTGGCCATATCTATGAATTTCCTGGATGATGAAGGGCCAGTTAAGTAAAAGAAGCCAAACGTTGACTTCAAAAGTAAGAGAAAGAATGTTCCAGGAACTAAAGGCCAATCAGTTTGACTTTGATACCTATGAAGATGCTAGTTCATAGTGATAGTTCTGTAAACATTTGAAAAAAAATCAGTGATTACTTGAAGTTAGCATGGATTTCCCACAAACCTATATCATTAAGACTCATTTGATTTCAGTTTCTTTTTTTTTTATTTTTTTTAAAAAAAAATTAATTACTAACATTACAAACAACATATACAATATTTCACCCTGTGCTATACATAAGAAAGGAAGATTTGGTTCTTCGGATATATCCTCATGATCGCCAAAATCCACGTTCTCGGAGTACAGGTACCGAAGCATCCAATTTTCCCAGCGCATAGTCCACGAATGGTTTCCAAATTTTCCAGAAAATATCTTCTTTATAGTTACCATTTCTAATTTTAATATCACATGTCATTTTATCGTTTAAAGCTAATTTCCACATTTCACAATACCATTCTTCTATTCTAAAATTCACATCTAATTTCCAATATCTGGCTATTATAATTCTACCCATTATAATCATAATTCTAATCAATTCTTTCTCATATTTTGTTGGTTCTATTTCCTTAATTATCAACAGTAATATAGTTTCTGGTCTCAATATTATTGCTTTCCCCATCATTTCAAATATCATTTCCTCCAATTGTTGCCAAAACTTTTTAACTTTATCACATTTGTACCACATATGTTCATAAGTCCCTAATTCCATATCACATCTCCAACATTGTTTACTAATTTTGTTATCCATCAATGACAATCTTAATGGAGTCAAATACCATTTCCAAACAACCTTATAATTATGCTCTTTAATCCTTACAGATAAAGTCTTCATAATTCTACTCTTCCAATTCACATTCCAATCTAAATCTGATATTTTAATATTAAGTTCTTTTTCCCAATTCATCTTCATCACCCTTTGTGGTTTTCCATCAAAAGTTATAATCTTATATATCTTACTAACGAGTCCCTTTAGCCCAATTTCATCTTTCATAATTTGGAATACTAAATGTTCAAATTCAGTTTTACTTCTACTTATCGAACAATTGTCCCTTACCTTCTTAGTCCATTTTTCTATCTGTATTTTTTCAAACCAGCCTAAACCCAATTTTTCAATGATTTCTTTTTTCCTCCTTTCATTTTCTGAAGTTTTTAACCAATCTATTATAGTTTGTATATTTTCATCTTCCATTACCCTATTATGACTTATATTAGTTTTAATCGGCCAATTTTCAATTGTCTTCCCTAAGAAAATTATATCTGGAATTAAAATTTTAACAAATTTATTCCAAATTTTACTCAGTCCCTTTAACCAATAGCTATTAATTACACATTTTGATTTTGCTTTATCTAAAAACCATGCTGAGCCAAATCTCTTGATGTCTTTTAATTCTAAATCTCTCCAATGACTATCTTCACCTTTAAATATTTTTACCACAGTCCGAATAGCATAAGCCCAATAATAATTGAGTAGTTTGGGGATTCCTAATCCACCTTCCTTTTGATTTTGATACCACATTTTCTTCACTAATCTAGGTCTTTTCCCACCATTGCAAAATTTATCCAATTTCTTCTGGTATCCTTCAATATCTTTCTCTGTCAAGTTTAACGCTAACATCTCAAATAAAAAATTAAACTTTGGCAACAACATCATCTTACACATTGCAATTCTACCAAACCAAGACAACTTTATCATTTTATATTTATCTATCTTTTTCTCAATTTCATTCATCACCACATCATAATTTAGTTTTTTCATTTCTTTAACTTTGAGTGAAAGTGTTATGCCCAAATATTTCAGTGTTTTTTTAATCCTTATCACAAATTGTTCTTGCATATTCTCCCACTCCTTACCATTATTATTCATTAATAGTTCAGATTTTGACCAATTTATTTTCAAACCTGTCATTTCTTCAAATTCTTCCAAATGCTTATGTATCTTTTTCAAATCTTTCTCTATATCTTTCAAAATAATCAAAGTATCATCCGCATACAGATTTATCTTATATCCCTTATACCCTTCCAATTCTTCATCTTTTTCTATCATTTTAGTCAAAATTTCCATAACTAATAAAAATAATGTTGGAGACAGGGGACATCCTTGTCTCGTACCCGCTTCCAATCTTATCTCTTCTGCCAACCTTCCGTTCACCTTCACTCTTGCACTACTTTTTTGATACAGTTTTGAAATAACATGTATAAACTTATTACCAAAACCTAGTACCTCAACAATTGTTTTAATAGTTTCCCATTGTACAGAGTCAAAAGCTTTAAAAATATCTAATGATACTATACCTATTTTATCAGCATTATATTCAGCAGCATCTATAATATTTAATACTCTTCTGACAATATCACTCATGTATCTACCCTTCACAAAGCCTACTTGGTTATAATTTATATATCTGTCTATAAATCTACTTAATCTATTACTTATAATGGCGGTAAATATCTTTGCATCTTGATTAATTAAGGAGATGGGCCGATAGGACTCAATCCTTTCTAAGTCTTTATCTGGTTTAGGGATTATAGATATCACCGTTCTGTTCCATGACAACGGAACTTCTCCACCATGTAAAATTCCGTTAAATAGTTTTTGCAATTTTGGTATTATTATTTCCTTAAATTCTTTATAAAACTCAGCAGGTAATCCATCTTCACCTGGAGCTTTCCCTAATTTTATTTTTTGTATTACTCCATTAATCTCGTCTTGTGTTATATCTTCTTCCATCAAGTCTTTATATGTTTGTCAATTTTTTATATGTCAATTTTCACAACATGTTTTTCTAAATAACTTCTCAGTTTTTCCCGATCAATTAATTTTTTCGAATATAAATTTTGAAAAAAGTTCCTGACCACTTCACATTTTTCTAATTTTTTATAACATCTTATACCCTTATCATCTATCAAGGCTCCAATTTCTCTCTTCTCTCTTTTATTTTTCGCCATCCTTGCCAATAGCTTAGAGTTTTTATTGCTAAATTCAAAAAAAAATCCTATTTAAATATCTCATATTCTTTTTTACCAATTCTATATCTTCTTCTATCAATTTATTTTTTAGCAAATTTAGTTCTTCCAAAAAAAAATTTTCTTTAGTAAGCAAAAATTGATTCTCCAATTCCTTAATCTGGCTTTTATCTTTTTCAATTTTATTTTTATAATTTTTATATTTTCTGCTTGATAACTTGATACTTTCCCCTCTAAACACTGCTTTCATCGCATCCCAAACAATTTCAAATTTAACCTCTCCATTATCATTCAATCTCCAACATTTTTCCCATTTTTTAAATATCCATTTTTTATCCTCCTCATTTTTATACAGTTTTTCATCATATCTCCAACAACTTCCTTTTTTCTCAAAATTAAAATCTATTTCCATCGTAACTTCTGCATGATCAGAATCCTTAAAAATTCCCACATCTATCTTATCCACATTATTCAACAAATCTTTAGAAACTAAGATATAGTCAATTCTTGAATATGTATTATGTATCTTAGAGTAAAAAGTGTACACTCTTTCAGTTCCTTTCACTTCTCTCCAAGCATCCACCACGCCGTTTTGAAACATCCATTTATTTAAGGTCCCCATTTTATTTGCTCCTCCACAACGAGTGGGGTTAGTACTGTCTATTTTATCTCTAATTAAATTAAAATCCCCAGCCACAATTACTTTCCCTACACTTTCAATTTCCAAAATTTTAGTTATTTTTTCAAGAAATTCTTTTTGCTTCTCATTCGGTAGATATAAATTAACCAGTGTCACTTTTTCCTCATTAATATTTCCCACAATTATTATATATCTTCCTTCTTCATCCACAATTACTTGTTCTTTTTCAAAATATACCCTATCTGATATCAATGTTGCAACTCCTCTAGCTTTTGAAGTTCCAAAAGATTTTTCATAAATTTGCATACCTTTATATACATTTTATTTGAGTCTTCAGATTTCTGATGG